TCAGGAAGAGATCCAGCAGTCTACTAGCGTGTGACTAAACACGGAAGAAAAGATACAGCTCGTCATCATCGTTGATATATGAATTAAAATTAAATATAGTATTCATTCATAAATCTTATTACTCAGAATTCCAGCTCCCTAACTTGAATCGATCAAAAAATAATTAGGGGAAAATTTTATGAAAAGGACTGTGTAATGCTTGTTCTTAATCAGACCTTGTTTCTAGCTGACAGTACCTACTTGCAGTGACAAACTGTTCTCCACACATACAAGGACTGTAAATTAGGTGATGAGATAAATACAATTTTATACTGTCACCCTGAAAATACCTTCCTTCCACAGCGATGAAGACGGTTCTTCCACTCCTCATAGCGGTTACAGCCCTTTTAATGTTTTCGACTGTCCCAAAATAATTTATCTTGGGAAGAGAAAAAAGTCACAAGGATTCAAGTCAGGCGGATCAGGAGTCCGAGGAGACATAGGCATGTTTTACTGGCCAAAAGCTCGTTTGTTGACCTTGCTGTGTGACAAGGAGCATTATCATGTTGCAACACCCAGTTGTTTTTGATCTGATGAACGGTGGTGTAAGTCAGATTTAACTTTTGACCGATCATTCTGAGTGACAAGTGACGATCTGATCTCCCGGATTCTGTCAATAATTTTTTCTGCTTCGTGGTTCATCTTCAATCGAATCTCTCCTTTCCGAAAATGCTTTAAATCACCGATAAACACTATCGTGACAGCACAGATAACCAAATGGGTTGTACTGAAGATCAGTCACACGTTCCCCGTTGCTTCCAGTGTTGTCAGATTGAGCGCTACGTTGCCAGTCTTATCACTTAATTTACAGATCACGTATTCAGGCATCCAGAAGTAGCATCCTAACAATAGTATAAACTTTAGTGACTTTTTCGATAGGCTGTGGTGTCTTCTTTGCACCCCTCTTTATTCCTGGTATCATTACCAACTTTAACCTCACCATCATTATTTCCCTTAACCGTTCTACAATAGAGGTGGAAACGCTTCGGCATGGGGTCGGTCGTGGTAACATAGCAAAGGCATTCTGCCGGAATTGAAATCAAACGTTAAGGGTGAATGCGTTCGCATGGCCCAAGCGACGTGACTACCGTAGAGATTAAAAGCCATTCAGCCTGTTGCTCAGGCAAAATGAACGGCAATTACTCCACATATGCCGCGTTGGTAATTCCATTTCTGGCATGGGTACGGGTCGCAATAGAATTCGATCCTCGATGTTGTCGGAATTCGAGATCCCGTTGCTACCAAAGGGAAGAGGACACGTGGCTTGATTTTCGATATTTTATTCTGGGGAGAGTAGTGTCTTCGTGAGTCTTTTGATTCATCATCAAAGATTCTTCTTATATCCGCAATAACATGTGCACTCAACAATATCATGACCAGTGACAGTTAATTATACAGGGTGTCCGCAAAGTTGGGGTTTTCCTTTTCAGAAACAACTACCCTTGAAATAACAAAGGTAATGTGTAGTGAAACGAGGGCGACTAAGTAAAAAAAAATAAACAAAAAAGTACTCACTCTCCAGTTGACGAGAAGGGCTAAGTACGTCTCTGCCCGAAATCATACCGCTCCAACAGAAAATGAAATCAGCTGATGCGCTACCGAGCAGACGCCGGCGGTGGTGCAGACCACGAACAGAGGTAACAAATATGACGGCGTTGCCGCGTTTTCAGTTTTTAGGTAAACGTACTTTATAGGTATTGTTGATTCAAAAACACAGGTGCGTGCACGACGTAGCCAAGCATCGGTGCAGGCTTTGAGAATGGAGTCCCTCCCCCGAATGAAAGCACCAGCTTGTTCAATTCTGAAACGAAGTTCGTCAACCGTATGCACTTCAGTTTTGTACACTAAACGTTTCATTTCTCCCCAAAGAAAAAAATCACATGGTGTTAAGTCTGGAGATCGCGGAGGCCACGCTACGGGTCAATTACGTCCGATCCACCTATTCGGAAATAATTCATTCAAAAACTCACGCACTTCGCGTGTAAAATGGGGCGGTGCACCATCGTGCAGAAACCACATTGATTGTCTTACACTTAATGGCACATCTTCTAACAAGGAAGGCAAAATGTTGCGTAAAAAGTCTAGGTATTGTATCCCGTCCAATCGATTTGGGGGAATAAATGGTCCAATGAGCATACCGTTCACCATGCCAGCCCAAATATTCACCGAAAATGTTTGTTGAAAATGTGGCCGACGGACAGCGTGCGGATTTTCTACTGACCAAACATGAGTGTTGCGAAAGTTATTCACCCCATTACGCGTGAACGTAGATTCGTCTGTCACCAATATGCACTTCAAAAAGTCTGGATTATTGTCATGTTGATGCAACAACCACTCTTGCTGGAAATTCGTCAGGTTGAAGGGCTTGTACACGTTGGACGTGAAACGGATACAGCCCCTCTTCACGCAGCGTTTGCCAAACTTTAGTTTTTGATACTTGCACTTCTCTAGCCACGTCTCTAGTGCTTGTTGTTTTTTGAAACGCAATCGATTATACGGGTTCGTTTACCTCTACACGCGTGACCGTAACCATCGGTTGAAGGTTGCATACTGACCTGACACACTGATCCCGACCCAGTTCTGCCGTCGGGTTGAGCTAGTGTCCTGGTACCACTCGGGGATGTCGCGGGTCGCGGCTACAGGACGGTATTCAGATATTTTTGATGTTGCAGAGAAAGAAAAATCGCTTATGTTTTCAAGATCTACACGTCGTGTAATGGAAAACCCCAACTTTGCGGACGCCCTGTATATTAATAAGTCATAACCCTGTCTGGTCTGACAAAGTAGGAAATCATACTTCAAGGGAAAGATTGAAGACAAAAGAAGTAGAGTAAGGAGAAAGAGTAGAGCCCCCAAGAGAAGAATGCGGGTAGGTATTACCTAAGAGGTTTGACTTTCCGATCCTCAAGGGTATCGAGAGACCATTGCTATCGAAGTATTTACTTTCCTTGTGTCGTTACTAGTGAAAATACTGAGTGATATATTTTGCTTACCAGGATATCAAAATATTTTCTGAAAAAATATACATGTTTCATTTTAATCTCGCTAACTAAAGATTTCTATAACGCATCCTAGAAAAAAGTTTCAAGCAAGAGTTGTAGGCGAGGCAAAATGATGGACCTTGACAATGCCTTTGAACACGACCTTTGAGGCCGAGGCTCAAGTGGAGCCCCCTCCTTTTTACATCGGAATTGAAAAGAGGACATCCGAATACGACATTGAATATGACATTGAATACCACCTTCAAGACCATTTCAGGGTCAAATCGAGTAACTGAAAACAATTTGCTCTAGCAAAATATTTGGCAGCACAGTTGCTTTGTAGGATCACATAAAGGTCAAGTTAACGTTTTCAAAGAAAACCCTCATTTGTATGCTGAAATTAGAAAAAGAACGAAATTTTACGTCCGAATATCGAGCTTGAATGTTATTTGTGGTCAATGTTATACTTGGACGTGGAATGTCTTGCTCTTTCCCATTTCACACGTTGAATGTCGATTTTAAAGCAATTTCAAGGTAAAATCAATTAAAACAATTCGCTATAACAAAAAATGTTCCACAGCACAGTTGTGAGGTTTGTGGGCATCAGCCAAAAGTAACCTTGACCTTGATGTTGTCCGTGACATTCAAGGTTAAGTCTTGTATTTACACTGAAAATGGAGAAACAGGAAATTTTATGTACGAGTTTGACATTGATCTGAAATAATATTCAAGCTTGACAGACTTGAAGTCAATGTCACATTCGGACATAACATTTCCTGCCTTTTCCATTTCCAGTATAAAAACTAGAGATTTTCTCTGGAAATTTTGACTTGACCTTTAATGTTATAGTTAAGGTCGTGATCAAGGTCATCCTCGGTTGTAAGATTCGCTGGTCTATTCAATTTCGATGTAAAAGTCGGGTTCATTTGAAATCTAAGGTCGTTTTCCTGGCCATTGTCAAGATTACAATCATTTGGCCTCTTCGAAATTCTAATACTCTTGTGTCAAACATTTTTCTAGGATGTGCAGTTCTCGAAATATTCAGGTGATGTAATTAATCTTATAGATTGCTTCTACAATGGAACCATATTCTTTACGATACATCAGAAACCGATTCTCTTTACTTACGAGGATTTGAAATAAGAATTGTTATATTGACACAAGTGGTTCACAGAAGTATTGATGGGATGAAGAAATTGATTTCAAAAGGTACTTAACAGTCATGGTTGATATATCTGAAGAAGTTCGAAAACGTTTTACGCTAGTGGGAATTTTTAATTGTTTCTTGAGATTAGCTGTTTTTAAGCGCTGTCTAGCGACGCAAAAGCTGTGGCAAATTGAGATTATGTTCCACTTTATGTCCTGTTTTCCACCTTCAAAATGTATTCTGTGAACAGTGTGAACCATCTTTTATACCAATATTTGATTTTTCCATCTTTTAAGCTTAACAAAAAAGTATCTGTTAGGGGTATTTTCCTTCACCCTCAGTTCTGTAGTAAAATCAGTCAATGGATACTTTCCAAGAGATTCTTCAAATATTGGTTACTGCAAATGCGTAAAAATAAAACTGACTAAAATTAACCTGTATTGAATCCTCAAAGTTCATTGCCACGCCACTAAAGATAGATTGAATGTGAATATTAATTAACAAATTAGTTTTATTAATTAATGTATCCAAGAGGTTTCTTACCCTGCTGATGCTACGAAGGCAAAATGTAAAACGTCAAAGTACATGACATTTTAAGGTAGTAAATGAAATCGTTTTGAAGAAAAATTGGAACTTGCTTTTTGATTTATATGGTCGAAAAAGCTGTTTTTTGGCAAGTCATTCCACAGACCCGACACAAACGAAAGACAATGGCTCTTTCTCGTATGTATGGAGGGTGACGGGGTAAGGAGAAGAAGTCTAGCAAGATTTTCTAGCACAGCTACGAAATTGGCAGCATTACGATGATATAACGATTCACGAAACAAACGTACCTTTTGAAGATGGCATCACAAATAACAAGTTTGCAATAGCAGCACCAGTATCATGTCCAACCAAAGTGACTCTTTTGGGATCACCTCCGAAGGCACCGATGTTCGTTTTGACCCACTTCAACGCTGCAACAACATCTTTGATAGCCAGGTTTCCTCCAGATGGTTCCTCTTTTGTTTCGGAGGAGCTTGCGGAGCTCGTTGAAGCACTTGACATCGCTGATCCTGGACGCGTTCGCAAGAAACCTGAAACAAAAGCACCAATGAAGTATGTTTTGTTATAATAAATCATCATCAAAGGTAGATCCTCAAGACCGAAAAACCGCGAATGCTACAAAGATATCAAATATTACTTGAACATGATCTGTTTGCTTTGCGCCTCCTCGGCCATGATCAACTGTTTACAATGCTGTTTCATGATTTTTTGCAATCATCAGTACAGTATAGATCCAGTAATTTGAGGCAGATGACGGAAGGCAAATAACAAAGTATGAGTCCTATGAGAAACTGAGTCTTGCGACAGCATCCACAACCTATCTACAGTCTTTTCTCTCTTTGAGAAAGGCCGGATAATTTATAGATTTCTACTGTCCCGTTCATCCATTAATTTAATGTTAAACGGGCGCTTTTTTGTAGCGCGATCGCTGCATCGTCAGTAACAGCGTCAACAACAGGCATGTTAATTTGATGCCCACAGAAACACCGGTTCAATACAAAGAGCACGAAACTCGAGGCATTTCTACCAAGCCTTAAGCCCTCCTTGCGGATTAGGTATTCAGCATCCGGTAATCAATACCAAGTGACCGACATCCTAATGTTGCCATTTCCAATCCATTGCACGATGATTGCGGTTTGCGGTCTCCATCCAGTAGCGTACAAAGGTAAACGTAGGGCTTAGGAAGTAGCTTCATCATGTCAATATGGGGAGAGCGTGGTTTGTGGACAATCTGACTACCGCATCAGAGTCTCTGTTGGTACAGATTTTTTTAGTGACTGATGAAACGCACATAGGGTAGTTGTCCTTTTTTTACATAGTCGACATTTACTAAGATGGCATCCTAGGCGGTCAGGCATGGTACAAGGTATGTTGTACTTGTTATACTTGCTTTTCAGGACATCAAATGAGATAGGGTAAATCGTTAGTTATCGGACACCTGACAGTTATTGGACGTTGCGGTTTTAAAACCGAATACTAAGAGTTCTGTATGGCGTATTTGGTTCAGTTCTCCACAGATGGTATCTCTATAATATATGCTGACAGATTTCTATTCGGTTGCGCATACTTCCACGCCGGTGCTGTGATTATGGCGGGAAAATTTTATAAGTTATGTTCTTGAATCCGAAGATAAAGTTTGTGGTTCAGGTACCGACAAAAAATTCTACATTTGTTCTCAAGGTAAGCATCTATTTTTGTATTGCGCTGATCCTCTTTCTCGGCGGTCATAAGAGTCACCTGAATTGTCATCTGAGCATTCTATGTAAGGAACTACAAATTGAAATCATTTCACTGTATCCTAATGCTACAAGGACTTTGCAACCCTGTGATGTATCCATTTTCCGACCAATCAAAGAAGCTTGGCATCAGTCAGTACGAAAGTGGGAAGAAGAAGATCCAGGGCAAATAGTAAACTAAGTCGTTTTTGCTGGTATTCTAGAAAATTAATAAGAGCTTCAAAGCAGAAACAGTTGTAAGCGGGTTTAAAGTTTGTGGTTTGTATCCTTTCAATCCAGATAACGTCGACTATACAAAATGTCTAGATGCAGCAATCAAATATTGGTGTAGAAAATCTTACTCAGCACAAGATGACCTACGACAAGCTCGCAACAATAGTTGGTCCCAAAAAAATCGAAATGTTCCAAAATATTGATGAAAAAATGGCAGAAAATGAAATTTCCGATGAAAATTTGCGTCTATTATTCAAGATTTGGAGATTCTCCGAAACGATGATACAATACCTTCGGATATCAGAGAGCCAAAAAATAAAATTAATATTGTACAAAATATAGTTATAATCTCCTCAACAAAAAATCCTTCACTTGCTTCAAATTCTAGTGAAACTGAACAAACCGCAACACTTAGTCACACCGAGTCGTAGTTACAAACGATTTGTTAGGAAGCTTCCTACAGTTACCTTCTGCACCAGCAAGAAAGGGTAAACGAAACATAGAGAGATTCCCTTTTGCTATAACATCTGAGCGATATCCGGAGATATTCAGGAAAACAGAAGAATTGTAGAAACAGCAGGAAGAAGAGAAGGAAAGTAGAAAAAGGAAGAAGCATGAAAAACGAAACGAAAAACAAGGTAAAGGTAAGAATTCACAAACAGCAACACAGTGCTCTGCCTGCCTAAAGGGCATCAGATCTGGTGAACTACAGTGTGATGACTGTAAACGATACTATCATCAAGACTGTGTTCCACAAATCCACGCACATAACATGACTAGCGATGACGATTTATACATATGTCATAACTGCTACAGATTGAGTGATAGTGACGAGGATTGTGAAGATATTGACGATAAGGAAGTCGATCAATTATACGACAAATATAATCAGTCAAAAAAAGCATTTTACAAATGATTATACCACATTAGATAATACCCGTCCAATAACTGGATTTTCAGTGCCCCATATCTGAATGATGCGTCCAATAACTATAGTTTTTTGCATATGTTCAAATTATCATTGTTAGTGTAAATTCTACAAAGCTATTTTCAAATATGTTCTAGCAGTCTAGTTAATAAAGCCTCTAACTTCCTTTATATGTAGTTTCCATTCTCGCTTTGCCATAATTGAAAGTTTGGCTCTCATTTCCCTTAACTGTCCAATAATTGTCTGGATTACCCTAGTTCTTTATAGAATCAGCACCTATTTCTTGGACGGGGGAATACCTTTGTATAGCTTCTGAGTATCTGCTGCCTATTTCCGTCTGGTATTTACTTCAGGCTCCGATAGAAATGTTTAGTAATAAAAATATTAATAATAACACAAAAAAGAGCACTGGGACCAGTCCACAGTTGCGGGAAACCCTTTCCTTAAAATTCAGGCAGAGTTCAGGTCGATCTCATTCCCTTCTCTAGGAAGTGCATTACAGTCAACCTAATAATACAATTTATTGACTAAGAGAATTGTTATAATTCCACTTACAGGACAAATAATTTAAATCTGGCATAACAATAAAAAATAAAAGTTTGTTCAAATTTAAGACAATGAGCAAACGCTAATATCACATGTATAATGCTATTTAAGGTGCTGCCATAAAATCATAAAGCAAATATGACAAATACTGCATATTATGTTGAAGTTTATGCACATTACTCTTACAGAAGATTTTAAAGCTAAGTTGGTATTTGCACGCGTGCAAAAAACGAAGGCACTCTTTCTCGAACATGTGATTGGAACTAAAAATTGGAGCTGGAATAATAGTTCTGAAGAATCAACAATACTATGTAATAGTTTATACATGTATCAAAAGACGACGGAGTTATGTTTTTTCCTCTCACTCAAGGAGGCAACTTGGAATCTTTCCAACAATATTTGGTAGTTCGACCGCGTTGAGGATACACTGAATCAACATTGAAAACTAGATAAAAAAATATTTGTTAAATGATCCATTTGATGTATTTAACAGTTATAATAAGGAGTCCAACCTTATGAAGCATATTCCAATTTGGAACGTATACATACAAAGTATAATAATCTATGAATTCAATAGAAATTACCTTGTAATCTTTTACTAGTACTATTTGCTCTCGCCTAACGATCATAATTATCACGCTTACTCAACATTTCTCTTTAATAACTTTATACTTAGCTTTAATTCGTGTGTACGTAGCTCTACAGTCGAGCATAGTATGTTTATAGGTCCCTGGTCCGTTTTATTTATCACGCTACTTGGATGGAGCTAGAATTACATTTTTTAATGACCATCGGCAATCTAAAAGTAAAGTCAATTATACTTATGCACTTTAAGCACTCTATGAGGGTTTAATAAGTTTTTCACCATAGAGTATGTTACAAAACCTGAAAACGCCGAGCAGCTAATAAACTTTGTGTTCCAAACCAGCTAACGTACGAGTCACAAAAATCAGCTTTACAGGATTTGTCCAAGGCTGACCGAAACAAAATTCCCTACGGGCGGTCAATTTTCTGCTTTCGGCAAATAAAAATCCTAATTTGCATTTCGCAGTTAGACAAAATTCAATTTAATTTTATCACATACACTGTAAAGAGCTCTCTGTAAAAATAAACACCCGCTTTGCTGCTGCTAGCTCCGTACGCAAAAGTCCTGCACTCAATTTGATGCCAGTTCAGATAAAGTTGACCTTTTTTTGTTAAACGAGTCATGAGGACGTGTAGAACTTTTCGGATCACACACGATGTAGATGGCAATCTTTTCGCTCAATTTGCACTGTTTTGATTATGTTTGACTTACTATGAATATGAGAAAGAATGTTTTAAAGATATATGCACATACAATATGAAAAACTATAAATGAAAAAATAGCTAAAAATAGCTGGTGTCGTACGAATAAGTTTTTCTTTCAAAGAGCGTAATCTTGCAGGACTAGCAGAATACTAGTACTGTAGTACTACTACTACTAGTGGTATCAGCGTTGAGACTTGGTGTCAAACATGCTAGACATTTGAAAAACTAATCAGCTAAGTCTCCTTCATAAATTTTGAATCAATCAATGACCATTATTATCATCACCAATGGCGTTACAACACTTCGTGACTTTTTTGGTGGCTCAATGGCATAAAATTGAGCAACACATTTTTTACCATTTGCATTTTATGCTAGATGGTTGCCAAATAAAAAACTGCTAATTGATGGAGTGCCAAATACATTGGATTAGTATTGGATCGTCACTTACGTATTTAGAATTTGTTTCCACTCAAGCAGATGCGCAGACAAAGCAGCTTCGTTGATCCGCTTTCTGAATTAGATATTTCTATAAAAGGCATTCTGAAATGTTAAACAACCGATTCTTCATCTCACTAACGAATTATACGCAGATGACATAAGACAGCTTTATTTCTTACACACTATAACTCACTATCATAAATTTGTAAACATTGGTCAACAAATTAAACATAATCATTAGACTAGGTAAAAACTTCGTGGTACAGTAGTTCCTCAACCACACAAAAATCTATAATGCAGCGGTTATATCTCTATTTAGCACCAAAGCTTTATTAATTTTATCTATACTAAGTGACATATAAATCCGAACACCCAGTTTAAATGGTTTTATTTTAATAAAAGTTGGTTGAATGTATTTATCTTACGGTAAATAACAAGTGAAAAAATTTTCAGCCTTATCAGTTATCCGGTTTTTATACTGCTTTTTTTTAATTCACTAACGCTCTGAAAATGAATATTTCAGCCGCAGTAAAGAATCAACGTTGGTGGATTTTGGTTCTTGACATCCATTACGATCGGTTACGATGCCTAGAGTACGGAGACCTGTACGATTTCGTCAACTTAGTGAGTTTGATAGGGGCCGTATAGTGGGACTTCGGGAAGCTGGACTTTCTTTTCGGGCAATTGCAGTTAGAGTGCAAAGAAGTGTAGACACTGTGGTTAGGTGTTGTCAGGCATGGCTTCGAGAAGGCCGTACGCAAAGAGCAAGGGGCACTGGACGCCGCCGTAGAACAACAGACCGTGAAGATTGCCGCCTAAGATTATTGACCTTAAGGGACCGTTTCTCCACTACCAGGTCCATTGCAAATGAATGGTTTGCACAACACGGAAGACCTATTGGCATGCGAAGTGTTTACCGACGAATGACGAGTCTCGATTTTGTTTAGGCATGCACGATGGTCGTGCCAGGGTTAGGAGGCGACGTGGTGAAAGGAGGAATCCACAGTTTTTTGTTGAAAGACATGTTCATCACACTGTTGGAGTTATGGTTTGGGGTGCTATAGCTTATGGTTCCAGGTCATCTTTAATCTTCATCAGAGGTAACATGAACGCGCAGCGTTATATCCACGAAGTTCTCGAACCCCATCTTTTACTCTATCTTGACACCCTGGCAGATCCAACTTTCCAACAAGATAATGCCCGACCTCATGTTGCAAGAGTCACAATAGACTTCTTTCAACATAATGATGTCACATTGTTACCATGGCCACCAAAATCTCCCGACTTGTCCCCAATTGAGCACGTGTGGGATATGATGGGTAGGAGATTGCTCAATTTGCAACGTCCTCCTCAGACTCTAGAAGTACTTCGAGAGGAGTTCACCAACTTTTATTAAAATAAAACCATTTTAACTGGGTGTTCGGATTTATATGTCACTTAGTATATTACGTATATATTTGCGACCTTCAATACTGCTGCCTTCTGCATTCTGTTGAAGTTGTGCTTCCCAGTTAAAAGTTTAATTGCTATGGAGGTCGCTTCGGAAATTAGCCCTGTTGCTCCAATTACCATAGGTATGATCTTCGTTTTGATATTTCATAGCCTTTGGAGATCGATCTGGAGATCTTTATATTTCAGATATTTTTTGGCTTCCTCCTGTGATGGTGTAATCTGATGGGATGGCATCATGTATTAGTAGGCACAGCTTTTGTCTCTCGTCTTTCAGAATTATGTCCGGATTATTTTCTTTGAGTGCCCTATCTGTTTGCTGGGTTAGTCATCTATTACTATTCTTACCTATAAGTTTATGTGTTACCATGTGAGTCAAAAGTCATGTGGTATGCATAATTGAACTGTCAAAGGTACGCCATTTATAGTCATGGATTCGTTTACAGCACAACAACGCATTTTGGTTATCCAAACGTATTACGAAAACGGTCGAAATATAAAAAATACTTTTCGCAAACTTCGCACTAGTTTTAACCGACATGGACGCCCTACAGAGCCTGGAGTTCGTTGGATTGTTAATCGTTTTGAGGAAATTAGTTCAGCTGAAGGTCGTAGACCATACCAACATGCTCGTCCAGCTCGTACTCGTGAAAACATAGCCACAGTGAGTGAAAGTGTGCGAGAAGGTCCAACCACCTCGACTAGGCACCGTTCGCAACAATTGGGAATTAGTGAGACCACTTTACGCCCGATTTTACACATTGATTTATACATCCATCCATACAAAATCCAACTAACACAAGAATTGAAGCCGGCAGACCATCCACAGCGGCGTGTTTCTGTTAATTGGATGCTGGAAAGGGAAGACGGATTTTCGGCCAAAGTGCTCTTTTCTGATGAGACTCATTTTCCCCTCAATGGGTACGTAAATAAGCAAAACTGCAGATTCTGGGGAGCTGAAAATCCACACCAATATCATGAACAACCTCTCCATCCTGAAAAAGTGACTGCTTGGTGCGGATTATGGGCTGGTGGCATCGTTGGACCATTCTTCTTTGAAGATGGCGAAGAAAAGGCCATTACCGTCAACGGGGAACGTTATCGCGGCATGTGGCCACAATTGGATCGTATTGGTGCCGACGATCTTTGGTTTCATCAAGATGGAGCAATGGCTCACACATCTCGCCAAACAATCGCCTTAATGCATACGAAATTTCAAAACCGCATAATTTTACGAAATTCGGATGTCAGTTGGCCCCCGAGATCGTGCGATTTAACACCTCTTGACTATTTTCTTTGGGGATTTTCGAAAGGAAAAGTGTATATGAATAGTCCCCGAACAATTCAAGACCAAAAGCGCAATATTCGGACTGAAATTGCGGCCATAGACCCGATTATT